ACTTTTTGGCCAACTCAATATATTCCAAGAGGAGATTTGGCCCAAATGTACAAAGGACAATCTGTTTCAGATATGAAGAAGCACATGGCTTTACAAGAGAGGAGACTCAACTGTTCATAAACTATTTCAATAGACCACATAGAGGCTACTGACTGGAACATGGAAGCTTAATAAATGATTTTTGAAGATGTGAGTAGATGCAAAGTGATTTAATCTGGGCCATGGAAGAGAAGCATTAATTTTTGAGTGAACAAGTAAACCTTTTGAAAAGCAAAAGGAAATTACAAAATAAGATCCTGAAGTAAAATGAAGTATGAAATCTGGGAAAGTAAGGAGAGGAAAAGATACCATACCTGGTGGAGACCATGTCTCTTAGCTGGGACTGCAGCAGAATGGGCTTTCTGGAATGCTGGAAACATGGAGACAGGTGTACGCTCCCAAAAAGCCAGGGAAAGATTCTATTTTCTCCATTTAGACTAAGATGCGGCCTTGCTGATGCTGAATTTGGTTCAAGGACCAAGACAGAGCAAATTTTGTAGACTTTTAAAATATCTGGATTTGATGGTCAAGGTACATTACTCAGGAATTATTACACGGGACAACAAGGACATAGTAGGAATTGAACTTTTCAGATTCAGCAAGGGCCAATATTTCATGCATCATTTCATCAGCAGCTTCAAGAGCCCCTTTAAGGACTCTGGCAGCCAAAGAAAGAGACTAAAAGGCTTTGTTCGCTGATTTGGGTAGCCACCCTGCTTCTTACACAGCTATATGGCTTTTGCTAATTGAATCAGAAACTTGATTTAAATTTTAACTTTGACTATAGGACTTCTAACTGCCAGTCTGCAACCAATCTGAGATGCAAGTGGCATAATGATGGGTTCTGAAATGTTTGGCTAGTGTCAGAAGTGGGATTTACCAATCAAGTGCTGAATTAAAAATACACTTTGATCTTGGAAATGGTGTCAGGAATCCAAGGGATGAAAGAGTGAGCTAAAGAAGTGTGGGAGGAAAGTAGATAGCCCGTGACATGAGATCTTTAGGTCACTGAGGAAGATGAATCAGTGGAGTGTTGAATCAGTGGAATTCACTCACTGTACCTTATCCTCAATCTAACAAGATTTGCAGATAACTAGAGAGAGATGAGCTGATGACAAGATAGCCCAATGCATAGTTTTCTGATAGTTTCCTTGTCTCTACTTGTTATCTTTTGGAAGAAAAGCTATGACAAACCTAGACAGCATATTAAAAAGCAGAGACATTACTTTGCCAATGAAGATCTATATAGTCAAAGCTATGGTTTTTCCAGTAGTCATGTATGGATGTGAGAGTTAGACCATAAAGAAGGGTGAGTGCTGAAGAATTGATGCTTTTTGTTGGAGAAGACTCTTGAGATTCCCTCTTTAGAGTCTCAAGTCCCTTGAGAGTCCCTTGCTTGAGATACAGTAAGGAGATCAAACCAGTTAATCCTACAGGAAATCAATCCTGAATATTCATTTGAAGGACTGATGTTGAAGCTGAAACTCCAATACTTTGGCCACCTGATGTGAAGAGCTGACTCATTAGAAAAGACCCTGATGCTGGGAAAGATTGAAGGCAGGAGGAGAAGGGGGACAGCAGAGGACGAGATGGTGGATGGCATCATGATTCAATGGACATGAGTTTGAGCAAGCTCCAGGAGATGGTGAAGGATAGGGAAGCCTGGTGTGCTGCAGTCCATGGGGTTGCAAACAGTTGGACATGACTGAGCGACTGAGAAACACTATGTTATCTGGGCTTCCCCGGTGGCTCAGTGATAAAGAACCCACCTGCCAATGCAGAGATGCAGAAGGCTTAGGTTTGATCCCTGGGTTGGGAAGATACCCTGGATTAGGAAATGGCAACCCACTTCAGTATCCTTACTGGAAAAGTCCCATGGACAGAGAAGCCTGGTGGACTACAGTCCACAGGGTCACAGTCAGACACGACTTAATGACTGAGCGTGCACACACACGCACTGTGATATCTAAGAACGGAGCGATTGCACAATCCCATAAAATTAAAAAACTAAGGGGGAATGACAAGGCTCTGAGGAACCTCTGTAACTCTGCCTGGACTGGCAGTAAGTTAATTTCTAGTCAGAAATGATCTGACAGGGAAAATTATAACTCAGATGTGCTCAATTCTCCCTGTCAAAATAGTAAGAAAAACAGGAGGAAGATTAGAAAAGTATTACTTTTCATTGTATCTCCACATAGACATCTTTAATACAAATCCTGTTTTTGTCTAAAAGCCATACAAAAGAAATAAGAGCTTGAAATTCCATGACTTTGGAGCAGATTGACTGCAGTAAGTTTTCACTGGGCAGGGTTTCAGAAATTCATTTGAACTTGAAACAAGTTGTCTTCCAAATGCAAAACTAAAAATATTTCATTGAGGAATAAAATTTCAATTAGTAAAAGTGTAACGTCTTCTGTCTCGGACGTTATTATAGAAGAAGGTGACCTGGCTGGAATGGAGCCAAATGAGATACAGGGTGAGTCTGCGACATGCCTGGCATCTCCAAAGCTATAAGTCTTAAGAAGCACAATTCAATCCTTTTGATTGTTTTAGAAATTAGGCTTTAGGGCACAGCTTCAGGGTGGGAGGGCAGTTAGACCCGTATCTCATTATTTGGTGAAATAATAAAAGGTGAGGCAGTGTTGGAGCCAAAATACTGTTGTAGAAGGTGGTGGGATGTTAAAAAGAGAGTATTTAAGAAAAGGACAGGCCTTCAAGGGCTTCCCTCATAGCTCAGTTGGTAAATAATTCTCCTGCAATTCAGGAGACCCCGGTTCAATTCCTGGGTCAAGAAGATCTGCTGGAGAAGGGATAGCTACTGACTCCAGTATTCTTGGGCTTCCCTGTGGCTCAGCTGGTAAAGAATCCGCCTGCAATGAGGGAGACCTGGGATGGATCCCTGGGTTGGGAAGGATCCCCTGGAGAAGGGAAAGGCTACCCACTCCAGTATTTTGGCCTGGAGAATTCCATGGACTACACAGTCCATGGGGTTGCAAAGAGTCGGACACAACTGAGTGACTTTCCCTCTCACTTTCTCCGGTAGCTCAGTGGTAAAGAATCTGCCTGCCAATGCAGGAGACACAGGTTCAATCCCTGGTCTGGGAAGACCCCACATGCCTGGGAGCAGCTAAGCCCATACGCCATAACTATTGAACCTGTGCTCTATAGAGCCTGGGAGCCGCAACTATCGCAGCCCACGAGCCCTAGAGTCCACGCTCCACAGCAAGAGAAGCATCATGATGAGAAGCCTGTGCACTGCAACTAGAGAAAAACCCGCGTGGCAACAAAGCCCCAGCACAGCTACAAATAAATAAACTATAAAAAAGAGAAAAGAACCATTTACTGGATCGGAGGAGGAAAGGTGTAAGAGTTAATAGGCCAATTTCCAGACCGAAAGGTAACTTAAATTGGGCAGGTTGGGAAAGAAATGAGAATGTGGTGTAATGGTTGGAGCCAGCACAGTAAGGAACCTGGGACTCTGGTCCTCATCAGAGAGAAACCAAAGTCTTCTCACAGAGCCTGCTAGTGCACGGTCCAAACCAGGGACAGTGGCTCATCATGGAAGTGATAGTGAAATGGCCCTGGGTACAAGGGAACAAAATCTGAAGCAGTCAACGATTGTGAAGCTGTGAAGTTCCTAGAGACTGCATGGGAAGAGCCATCCTGAAAGATCTTTTATAGGACATGGAACAGACTTTGGAGAATCACACTGTGATCTTGGCCCTTGGACTTTATAAACTAAGGGAGATTTAGTCAGAGAGCCTGGAGGTGGGGAGAAACAGGCTTTCTGAAACACTAGAAATCTGGAGGCAGAAATTGTGTTCAGAACACCTGTGCATAGGCTATTTTATCAGCCCAGATGAAGAGGTGGCTTTGTAGACGTGAAATTTGGATTGAGTCAAGAAATAATACTCTCTTTTGAATTAATATAAATATATACATCTCCCCCCAAATTTCTGAAAATGCATAATTTTTGTCCTATATTGTCTTATCTTCTTGGGTATACATATATACATACATATACCTTAAAATTTTTTTCCTAACATTTAATATTTGTTTATTTGGCTGCATCAGGACTTGGTTGCTGTCATTTGCTCCAAGGTATGTGCGATCTTAGCTCCCTGATCAAAGATTGAACCTATATCCCTTGCTTTGTAAGGCAGATTCTTACTAGACTACCAGGGAAGTCCTTAAATACACACACACACACACACACTCATATATCTTGTGTATGCATATATACATATTTTTATATGCTAGTATATGTTTATAGATACATATACATGTGTACATAAACTTTTTTTTCCCTTGAATGGCTGACATAAGTCCTGAATCCCTAAAGAAATAAGGACAGCAAAGTATCAAGAATTGAACTTCTTAGTGAAGTCCTATTTTGCATTCACATTGTCAGAGGGACATTGAGACAGCCTTTGTCAAGTTCTTTGTAATCTAAGAAAACCATCCTCTGTCTGTTCCTGCTTCTACTTTGTTTGCATAAAGTTCTGAGTCCTTGATTAATTAAACTGGTAACCTAACCTTGCCCTATTGTGTAAGTTTTGTGTGTGCATGTTTTCTGTGTATCCTGCAGCTAACACCTAACCTCCCTGAAATATTGCACACGTTCCAGTTCCTCTGTCTTAGGTGCGGGAGGGAACAGCACCTTCTCTCTGGTCTCGGCAGGTCAGACGGCCCTTAACCTGTTTTTCTTCCTATTGTCATATCCGGTCCCACCTAAGGAAGCCCCAAGACTACTGCCTGTTTTGCAGTGTAAGGACAATGGAAGACAGCAGGCCCAGCACCAGTCCTAGAAGGACCTTCATGAACCAATTCTCCCCTGTATCGGTTTTCTCCCTCATTTCTGTGGCCTTGCTCTTCTGACCTTTAACCAAACCTCCACCTGGGAATGACTCTGACTCCAGCAGGAATTCATTAGAGATATTCAAGTGCAAAGAGTCTCTTACCAGATGCCAAGAGGTCGTTGATGAATACGAGGAACTTCTCGTCAGCCACCTGGGCGTCGGTCATGAGAAACACGGTGCTAAGGTTCTTGACCCCGGCTCTCAGGCACAAGCCTGCCAGGTCCGCCTGCAGAAACCACGTCAGAGACCTCTGAGAAGAGGGCCTCCTTGAAAAGAGACCCCCACCCACTTTTTAGGAATGGGACTGTTTTTGTTTTTTTTTTTGTCTGCTCTCACAGGAAATAAGGAAAGACGGCAACGGGAGGGAGGGAGGAGTGTGACTTTGCATTCACAGGCAGAAAAAGATGCCTCATTCCCAGGCCTTGACCCCATAGATGGAAAAGTAGAATAAATAGTGATGATCTTTAATTCACACAACCACCGTGGCTCCTCAATTAGTTTCTAGGACTCCTGCCTTGTGCAAAGAGACAACAGCTTTCCAAAGACAAGGATGGTCCCCTGTTCATCTCTGTTAACTTATCACACAAGTCACTCATCACACGAGTGAATGACTTGCCCCAGGAGGAAAGCAAAAGCTCTTAGTCCTGACAGAAGAGTCACCACGTACTTGGGCCTCCAGGCCTGGGTAGATGACTATATCTAATGATAGCAGAGTTTTGTGTCCTTATGACTAGCTCCAGGAAAAGACTTGCATTGCAAAAAATATATGTATATAGAGGAACACACAAACACACTCACACATAAGCACACATAATCATTTGGTAGGAAATTTGTTGTTATTGACTTTGATGTATTAATAGATGTGCTTCCTATTCGGTGAGAGCTGAGACTCTACAGATGTCACTAAAGCAGCTGAGGTCTCCGAGATACAGAGCTTGGGAAGGCCAGGTTCTCAGGCAGGGTCTAATGAGCCCCTCCATGCACCAGCCCAGAGTCTAAGAAGAAGGTGGACAGACCGCGAAGGGGAGGTTCTGGGCGAGGGAGCCGAAGAGCTAACGCAGGGTGACAGGGAGCGTCTGGGCAGCTCGGGAGAGGCTGGGTCTCCTCCTGCAGCCGCCGGCCCTCCTACCTTGAAGTCCGGGATCTGGTAGCCTCTCCGCAACGTGATCTGGAATACGTCCATGGAGCTGACGAAAGCCGCCAGCCGAGTCAGGCTCTGCTTGCCACTACCCCCCACGCCGACCAGCAGAGCGTTTCCCCGAGGGGACTCCAGGATGCGATTAATGTGGCAGCTGAGAGGGAAGCAGAGACACAGGGCTTCGATCAGATTGCCCTCCGTCAGAAGCAGGTGGAATGGTCTGGGGGGAGCTGAAACCCTTGCAAGCACATCCTGGGCTGAGCTTGGGAAGACTCAGTTAAGAGGTGTTGACTAAGAAATGATGCAAGTTAAGTTTTATTTGGGGCAAAATGAGGACTGCAGCTCTGGAGACAGCAGCTCTGAGAGACTGCTCCAAAGAGGCCGCAGGGAGAGGCCGATACATAAGATTTTGGTGAAGAGGGAGTTCAGAGCAATCCGGGGCTTACTTTACGAAAGGTTTTCTGCTAGTCTTGAGGAGCTGATGTCACCGTGAAGGGATTTAATGCTTTTCTAGATAAGAGGTGATGCAAGGATTGGGATTATGAAATCAACTTCTGAAAATATTTATCTAAAGGCCAGTTCCACCAGTTTCCTGGGGCACAGAGTGCCTCACTCTCTAACCTGGACTCCCTTCAGGGAGTGTTGAAGGTCCACAGCTATAACAGCACAGGGTTCAATCTCCGCAGAGGCAGAGGGCGAATGCCCTTGGCAAGCACCAATCTGTAGTTGACAATGGTCCCCAAGCTTGGCCTTGCCTCTGGCCTGAGTGGACTAAAGTCTCCCTACTCTGCTTTAAGCCAAAGCCTCAGGTGAAGCACAGATGGTGGAGGAAGAGCCCAAGGCCGCCAGGAGGGGGTTTGTGATGGCAACAGGAAGGGCCTGGGGTTAGATCTCTAATTATGTGCACAGGATGAATTCCGAGTGAGACAGTTTTCACGGCTTTTGATAAATGCTGAAAAACCGCACTCCCCCACCCCATTATAGTGGCACCAATTTCTTCTTAGGTGGAAGTAGTCAAAGGTTGAGTCTACTATATTGGAGCATAAGAATATGTCAGATTGTATTAGTTGCATTTGAAAGTTAAGCCCGTATATTTGGGGATGGATAGCACAGTGATGCAGCCACTGTGAAGGGGCCGTATGTCACTAAATTTATCTAGTGACATTTTATTCCCCTAAATATTCTTTCCAGGTGCCACAGTGGTAGAGAATCTGTGCGCCAATGCAGAAGAGGAAAGAGACTGTAATTCAATCCCTGGATGAGGAAGATCCCCTAGAGAAGGAAATGGCAATCCATTCCAGTATTCTTGCCTGGAAAATTGCAGGCAAGAAAACGAAAGCTGAAGATGTACCGCAGCACAGCTGGAGGAAACTGGCTTACTGAAGACTAGACACACACACACGGACAGAAGAGCCTCGAATGCTACAGTCCATGGGGTTGCAAAGAGTTGGACATGACTGAGCACTCGATACCACAAATATTCAGGAGACTTTTACTGACCTACCTTAGCTCATTTTATGATTTTACTTTTCTATTTATAATTACTCAGTTTTGATACTCTATCTTGTATCAGACAGATGCATACTTCTCCTCATCCATTATTAAATCAGAGTTTCTAGACATCTGACGAGTGTGTTTACCCAGCTTGCTTTCTCTATAGTGCTAGCGCATTGAAGGGATTCAAAAAAATTTTGTTAAATTGAAGCAGAACACCCCAGACCTTATACTAAGCATCACATTTGGGGGTGAAGAAGTTGCAAGGAACCATCTGCTTTGTGTCTACATGAGAAAGCAGTTGCCTATGGTGACAAAAGGAGAAATGATGGTGCTGAAATGTCCAGGCCCTCTCTTCAGATTCAAAAAAAGGCGGGGGACGGGGTCAGGGATAAACTGATGAAGGTGAAAGAGGAGAGTGAAAAGGTTGGCTTAAAACTCAACATTCAAAAAACTAAGATCATGGCATCTGATCCCGTGGTAAATAGATGGTGAAAAATGGAAACAGTGACATTTTCTTAGGTTCCAAAATCACTGCAGATGGTGACTGCAGCCATGAAATTAAAAGACACTTGCTCCTTGGAAGAAAAGATAAGACAAACCTAGACAGCATATTCAAAAGCAGAGATATCACTTTGTCATTGAAGGTCTGGATAGTCAAAGCTATGGTTTTTCCAGAAGTTATGTATGGATGTGAGAGTTGGATCTTAAAGAAGACTGAGCTTTGAAGAATTGATGCTTTCAAACTGTGATGCTGGAGAAGACTCTTGAGAGCCTCTTGGACAGCAAGGAGATCAAACCAGTCAATCTTAAAGGAAATCTATGCTGAATATTCATTGGCAGGACTGATGCTAAGGCTCCAATACTTTGGCCACCTGATGCAAAGAACCAACTCATTGGAAAATACCTTGATGCTGGGAAAGACTGAGGGCAGGAGGAAGAGGGGATGACAACCATGGACAATGCCATGGTTGGATGGCATCACTGACTCTATGGACATGAATTTGAACAAACTCAGGGTGACAGTGATGGACAGGGAGGCCTGGCGTGCTTCAGTCCATGGGATCATAAACAGTCGGACATGACTGAGCAACTTTACCACAACAAGGGATAAATTGATGAGGAGAGAGTCAGGCAAGGGGAAGGAGAAACTCAAGTAAGTTCTGTGGGCCGCCCAACACCCAGCTCTATTCTGGAAGGCCTGAAGTCAGCTCAGCATGGTCCATGCTATTCGATAGCTAAGTGGAAATGCATCATTAGAGCTGAAGCTTTCAAAGAAGAATGGTGAAGTCTGCAACTGTCAGCATCGGATGCCAGCTGGGGGATTCATTAACAACCTCTGACGAGGGCAAAGGACTCTGCATTTAAATCACAAAATCTAAAAGGAAGATCAATATTCTAAAGGGTGCCTGGGCTAGAAAACCAAGGCAGTCTGAGTTAAGCCCATTACTGAGCTTCTGGGAGATTAAAAACAAAAGCTGAAGATGTACCGCAGCACAGCTGGAGGAAACTGGCTTATTGAAGACTGGACACACACACACACACACACACACACACATGAGAGAGAGAGAGAGAACCAATAAGATGCACAAAAGAAGGGGCAGGAGAGAAATTCCTTTTTTTTGTTAATAAACAAGAAGTGATTCTAAGAGGAAGAAGAGGAGGCAGAAAAACATACATCAGAGCAAAAGAACAAAGAAAAAGACAAAGATTATGCCAAAAGCAGGAGGAACAATCTAGTGTGAAGCTTTGAGACAAAGCAGAACAAGAATGTGCTGGAATGGTTTAGGAAGTTGGTAGGAGAGAAAAGGTGCTTTTAGGGAAAGAAAACAACAGCAAAAAGACAAAGTCTCTAATCTCAGCAACTCTCAGGCAGCGCAAAGCCCTCGACAGGCAGGACCTTCAAAAATCCTTACTTTCCGGAGGAGCAAACTGAGGCTTGGGGCAGCCGTGTCCTCTGCAGAGAACTACTAGCCGTCAGTGGCCGGACGAGGACCTGAATTCGGGCCTGGCTCTTGGCCGGGCCTCTGGGTTCCTGGGAAAGTGTGTAGAGACTTCATCCTGGGCACTGTGTGCAGTGGTGCCCAGAAGCTTAGCGACCTGTGCTTCTCACTATATTGATCGGTGCAGAGAAATGTCACCGGCATGGAGTAGGGGAGAAGGAGGGTCCCCACCTCTTTCCAGGCCCTGGGGCATATAGAAGGGGGAAGAAAAAAACACTTTCCTCAACCCAGGGATCAGTTAGGTCTCAGTAAGAATTCATCAATGAGGAAGTTCAGGGAGGTGGAAGACTAAGCGGATTTTACTGGGCAGCAGGGGGCGGGGTGGAGAGATTGTAGGAGGCAGGAGGGGTGGTAAATGCAGCTCAGGTGTGAGTACAGACTGTCTGGGAGGTTTGGAGACCATTCTCCGTGGTTTACTTGATAGCCCGCGTGCTCAGGGCGCACTCAGTCACTAAGTCATGTCTGACTCTTTGTGACCCCACGGACTGTAGCCCACCAGGCTCTTCTGTCCATGGGATTTCCCAGGCAAGGATACTGGAGTGGGTTGCATTTCCTTCCCCAGGGGATCGTCCCGATCCAGGGATGGAACCTGTGTCTCCTGCATTGGCAGGTGATTCTTTACCACTGAGCCACCTGGGAAGCCCATTCACTGGACAGGAAGACTTAAAAGGACAGTTAGTTTTTGAAACACGTGTGCACTTAAAATTTGCGATCTCACTGGACGAGGGTGGGTTGGGAATGGAGGTCCTCAGCCCTTCTGCTGCCTTGTTTGATGACCTCCCATTCTGTCACTGTGGTCAGGACCAGGACTATAAGCGGCAACCATGTAAACAAGTACCATTCCTCCAGAGTTTAACACGACCCTGCCCCCCAAGGGCAGCGGCAGAAGCTGCTCTACCAGCCGCCACCTTGACCTTCATGGCAGAAGCAGTAGCTGCTTTCCTGGTTTTATCTAGGTGTCCTCAAATGCCCCAGTGAGACCTCACACTGGGAAGGGGAGACAGCTGAAGAAAGGCAAGAGGAGAACCACACTTACACATGGCGCACGGCGTCCTCGAAGAGCACCAGGTCCATCACTGTGTTGACTTCGTTGTGGTTCTCCAGGGCCTCCACCAGAGTCTGGGTCAGAAGTTCCCACGACTGGACGGGCATGTACTTGGGCTCCCCGATACTGTGTGCAAAATGGCAATACACGTTCAGGCTTTGGGTCTGCTCCACAGTCTCTTCGAGGTCCTGGTGATGAGACACACGGGCAAGGACCCTCCTGACCGACTCTTGGGTCTGGTTCCACACAAAGTGGAGACAAACCTTATTATGGATAAGAAAATAAAATACCCAGTACAACTCCACTGACTTAAAAGATAGGGAGTCTTTGTCTCGTCACTACCAAGCTATCCTTGAAGTTTCAAAAGGACAGCTATTCTTTTTTAATCCAGAAGGGAATTGTTTACTTATCAAAACCAAAATATTTGAGATTTTGAGAGGTGGAGATTGTTATGAAAGTGAGTCCAAGAAAGAACAGGCTTTCTAATGCATCAGGAGGAGTTTATGTCAGCATGAGCAATTGTTCCACCTGCCACTCTTTCCTTCTAAGGTTCAGACTGGAGGACTCACTTGGGAAGGGGGTGATTAGCATGCTGTTCAACAGCAGAGGCATAACCCAGGAAATAAATTTTGAATCACTATTTAAATAAATCTTCAGTCTTTAGAGTTGTTCCAAATGTTCCAAGTTTCAAACTTGTTCCAAATTTCCAACCAATAGCAGTTCCAAAGTGGCTGGCTCTGCAGAGACAAGACTGTGAATTTCCAAGGATGCTGGTGTGTCAGCTGGGATAACCAATTTGAGGAAAAGACAAGGATATGGTCAGATGGTCTTCACAGACCTCACAACACCGAGATTCTATGGTTAATTTGTGTCTCTGCTTGCTCCAGAATTTTCCACTTTGTCACACTAAGGACAGACTTTCTTTCTTTACCTAAACATGATTTTCTTCAATTTAAGGGCTAGATTTTTGTCATTTGGGTGATCCTTGCATAATCACCATTCTTTTTCAGATGTAAGCATAAATTCACAGGGCAATACTCACATCAAAAATTTTCTTGACCACATCTACCTGGATCTTATCAAAAAGATCAAGGTCCTTCTCTTCCACCATCTTATCCCGATAAACCCTATTCGATTCGTGCAGATAGAGGTTTACTAGGTCCTGTGTGGACTTGACACATTCCACGGAGGAGAAGAGAATACCCTATAAGGAGAATAAACAGCAACAAAAATAACATGAATAGCAACTTAAAACTTCAACAGTTACTATTGATGGAAACCAGTTATGCAACTGGCACTGAACTAGATGTTCTGCCAGACAAAGCTCATTTAACCACCATGATGAACCCACAAAGTGATTTTTACAAGTCATTCAGCATAAGGTGAAGGGTGCGATTCAGAAAGAAAGAAAGCATGCTCTATGGTATAAGTGCATGCTATGCACTATGGTAATAAGTGGCCTTAGTTCAAAACCACACAGCTTTGAAGCCAGGTCTGTCTGACCTGAGATCCTGGAATTTCAACCACTACTTTCCAAATCACCACAGGAATGGGTGAGGAGGCTTCTCTGCTGTATTTCAACTCTATAAGTGCCATTTTGAAAGCTAGTCTGGGTGATGACTGTTTCTTCAAATCAGAAGGACAACAGAGGGCTGGAAGGAATATAGCTAACTTTTACAGGTCAGCAATCTAGCTATTCATCTCTAGTAAGTTCTCCTTCCTATATACCTCAGGGATCATTCTAAATATTTACTATTCTTTTCAAATTTCCATCACTCCCCTGTTATTATTGGCCAATGCTCCAAACTTCTTTATGGAAAAATGGAGACCACTGAGATCAGAGCCTCTTGACAACTTCAAATCCTATAACTTAAAACTCATCAATGCCTTGTTTGCCCTCACTGATTTCTGTCTTGTCTTACAAGAAAAGGAGTCCTTTAATTGTACGTCATTACAGACAGAATGGGCTTCCCCGGTGGCTCAGATAGTAAAGAATCTGCCTGCTATGAGGAAAACTTGGGTTCAATCCCTGGGTTGGGAAGATTCCCCTGGAGAAGGGAATGGCTACCCATTCCAGCATTCTTGCCTGGAGAAATCCATGGACAGAGGAGCCTGGTGGGCTACAGTCCATGGGGTCAACAGAGTCAAGATACAGCTGAGCAACTAACACTCTCACTACAGACAGAATGATGCTCAGATTCACCTGCATGGCATGACGATCTGGTCATAACAAGAGGTGAAAGGCTGACAATTAATGATCTAAAGTAGCCATGTCAAGAAGATAGAAGAACAAGAACAAACTCACCCCAATCCTAGAGTAAGTAGGAAGAAAGAGATTTTAAAGAGAAGAGCAAATCTTAATAAATTTGCATACTAAAATGTATCAAATAGAGATAACCAATAAAATAAAACACATAATATTGACATACTTCTCTTTTCCGGTTTCTTTTGAAAAGACTAGTGCAATTAGCCCTACTCTCTAGCAGGGCTGATTGAAGATAAAAAGAGAAAAACAGAGAAGGTACACATAATCAATAGCCAGAACAAAAAAACAGAGCACATGTCAGATAAAACAGATACTTAAAAGATAACAAGAAGACACTATAAACAATTTTATGCTAATAAATTAGAAGCTGATGACACTGACATCTGACCACAACTGATGCAAAAAGAAGTAGAAAATGTGAGTTGCCTAATATGTACTTAAAAAATGGAATTTATAATGGAAAATCTTTCACAAAAAAACTCCAGATGGTTTCATCATTAAATTCTTCTGACATTTAAGGAAGGCACAATACAGTGTCTTAAAAAATCTTCCTGAGAGTAGAAACAGAGAAAACAATTCCCAATGCATTTTATGAGGACTTCATAACCTTAGAACACTGGAAGGAAGAAAAATGATAGGAAAATCACATTAATATAGATGCAAACATTATAGAGAAAAAAATAATGAATGGAATCCAGAAAATAAAGTAAGTTCACCATGTTAACAACTAAGTTGGGTTGATTGCTCAAAAACAATCAACATAATTTATCCCATTTCCAGAAAAAAAGGAGAAAAAAAATAGATACAATGATTTCAACAGATATAGAAAAATCATTTAAGTTTTAACATATATTCATGATAAAAAAACTCTTCGTAAACTATAAATTGAAAGAAATTTTCTTAAACTGGTAAAGAGCATCCACGAAAATCTATAGTAAGCATCACACTTAACAGCCAACTATTGTAAAGCTTTTCGCTTAAAATTAGGAATGCTGCGAAAGGCCACTCTCCCAATGTCTATTCCTTGTGGTGGCAGGTAAGAAAAAGCAATGGGAAGGTTTAAGGGTCAGAAAGAAAGAAATTGTTACTATGATTCATTTTTCCCAATGGCATGATTGTGTATATAGGTGCAAACATAATATTGAACAAAGGTACACAAGCATATTTACCATACAATTTGCATTTATATAAAGTCCCAAAATAGGCTGAAATAATGTATGGGGTTAGAAGTTCAGACAGTATTTTAGCTCTGAGAGGAGGAGAAAAAGAGTGAGTGGAGAACTTCCCTGGTGGCCCAGTGGTTAAGAATCCATCTGCTAAAGCAGGAGACCCAGGTTCTGTCTCTGGTCTGGGAAGATACCACACGCCATGGCTCAACTAAAGTGGTTTGCCGCCAACTACTGACCCCATACTCTAGAGTTCAAGAGCCACAACTACTGAAGCCTGCACAACTTGGAGCTCATGAACTGCAACAAGAGAAGTCACCGCAATGAGAAGTCACTGCACCACAACTAGAGGAAGCCTGCATGCAGCAACAAAGACCCAATGCAGCCAAATAAACAGGTAAGTACAATTAAAAGAAAAGCTCTATTTTTTTTTTAAGGGTAAACAGAAGAAAGAAAAATGAGGGGTTTCAGGGATGCTGGGAACATACTTCTGTTTTTTTAAATATATTTATTGGGAAAGTAGTTCTTGACTTGAGTTATGGTTATGTAGCTGTGATGACTTTGTGACAACTGAGCTGTGTGTTCATGACTTTGGCGCTTTTCGACTTGGATGTGAGACTTTAAAAAAAAGTTCATTTTAGAAAAAGAAAGAAATCTCACTAGGTCCCTTCGGCCCCTCCCACACATACATCTCGGCCCCTGTCGGCTTCCTGAATCTCCTGGGTACCAGCCCCGTGTGAGATGTGGACGCTGGAGAAGGAGGCCTGCCACCAGAGCTGACTCTGGGAGAGAGGAGAGCCATCAGCTGAAGTTTACAAGCCCCGTTACAGCCGGATGCTCAGGCTGACTGACAATTAAGGGCTGAGTCGATGAGAGCGTGTCAAGGACAAACTTTGTACCAACTCAGACAGTTTTGTGTAGCACTGAGATGGGAATGCTTAATGATTTCTGCTCAGAGCACGATCAAGTTCTGTCCTGACGTCCGGATCCTGGACAGAGTGAGTGAAGCGCAGAGAAGGGCTGAATGATGGAACCCTGGATCAAGCTGGATGGAGGAAAACGGCATGTTCTCCAGACAGCGCCTTTCTCCTTGGGGGCATTCAACCCTCCTTACAGCTCTCCTGTCAGGCCTTTAGGCAAGCAGGCTGGGAAAGGGGTAGGAGGGGGAGGCTGTAGCCAAGCTGTGGGCTCAAATCTCCGTTCTGGAGGAGGAGGGTGAGGGGCTGCGTGGATGGACGGAGGCAGGTTCTCCAGTGGGGGTGCACTTCCCACATTTGGGGCTGGGAGCTGACAGTGGGCAGGCTGCAGTGGTTGGGCTCAGACATAGAGCCTGGGGGTCGCTACTCAGGCTGGCTGAGTCTGGAAAAGAAACAGACTTAGCCCCGCACCATACCTCTCCTCCTAGTTCCTCCCTGACCAGGGAGGACCTAACACAGGCTGAACTGGGACCCTCCTTCCTCAGGACACCTTGGCAGCCTGAATCCCCACACAAGAGAGCTGGCCCCCACACTCATCTGGGATACAAGGCTTCTGCTTGGCAGTTATGCAAACATACTCGAGCTACTGACTTGCCTGTGACAGTTTTGTCATTTCCAAATTGGAAGCGATCGGTGTTGCACCTGAAGTGGTTGTCTTGAGGATTCAATCACTAGCTAACGGATGCAGAGGGCATAGGACTGGCTCAATAAACGCCAGCTTTATTACAGACTGAAGTTGGACCTTTTACAAAGATCCTCTCTGATCTCAAAGTTCCCTCCCCGATCTTGTGGCTTGGCGACATCTCTGAGGCCCGTTCCCGCCTACTTGTTATTCCACCAACACCGTGTGTACCTTTCTACCTCCCCGAGTATTCATGCTGTCATCTATGAGCTGGCAACTTCTCCCAGCCTTTATTAAATTGGGATAATAATGTGCATCCTAAAGGGCTGTCGTGAGTATGAATTTCAGGTCGCACAGGTGACAAGGCGCTGTCCAGGCAGGAGCCTGCCCAGTGCATTGTGTGAGGGAGACCTGATGCTTCTTCTCCCTTTCATTCTGCCACTACGAGCAACGAGAATTTGATCTAACGACTTAACTCCTTTTTGTTCATTTGGAAAATGCAGACAGTGACACCTGTGTCTCATTCCGCTTCAGTGAGATTTAAGAGATGGCTTGTGTGATTAAAAAAAAAAAAAAAAAAGTGCCTGCCCTGGTAGTCCAGTGGTTAAGAATCCACCTGCCAAAGCAGAAGACACAAGTTCAATCCTCGGTCCAGGAAGAGCCCCCGTGCTGTGGGGCAACTAAGCGCGTGTGCCCCACAGGCTCTGCTCCAGCGTCTGTGCTCAGCAACAGGAGAAGCCCCCGCAGTGAGAAGCCCGTGCGCCACAATTAGACAGCAGCCCCCGCCTGCCGCCACTAGAGAAAGCCCAAGAGCAGCCACAAAGACCCAGAGCAGCCAAAAATAAACACACAAATAAACAACATTTTTAAAAAGTCTTTCTCAATTAATACTTGATAAATGGGAGAGGAGGGTGGAGATGCTCAAACATTGCCATTGTCCAGGGCTGAGGGCCATGGAGCTGGGTCCTTCTTGCTGCCTTAACTGTTTTAGGCTGTTTCATCAAAAGGATGGGTGGGAGGGGGACCTGGAGACCTAGGTTCTGTTCCAGTTTCTTCTCTGGCTGGCTGTGTGCTCTTAGGCAAATCAGTGTAAGCTCTGTGGGTCTGTTTCCTCATTTACAAGTTGATAAGTGAATGTTTGGAGGCGCGTGACCCAGAAGCACCATCCTAGGTCAGCTCACACGTGCTCTCAGAGACTTGGCCTGGCTATGGGGCTCAGTGGTCCACCCTCTGGGTGAGCCTTTTGGGAACGCTGCTCTCAGATCACCGAACTAATGTTCAGTGGGTTTCTGCTCCTTACGACCATGGAAC